GTGGTCGCAGAGTTAGGAAACAGAAGAAGAAGAAAGACTGGAGAAGATACCGGCCCAAAATGGGTAATTTTTGGTGTTAGTGGGAACTATTGCATATACAACTTGTACCTTATGTATAGTATTTGGTAAATAAGAGTTTTTTGAATTTGTTGCATAAAATAATAGTAATCAATGCTTTAAAACTTATACTTAAAACTTTATATTAAATGCTTATTAATGTAGTATAGATATATGTATGAAAATAGTCAATGAAAATGATTTTTAGATTTTTGTCAACGTTTATTTGATGATCGGGTATTGGATGATATCAAACATTAGTTAATAATTAAGTCGTATTATAGTTTATGAAACAGGTAGAAAGATCCCAAAATTTCTTAGGACTGATCACATGAATGAAGAGATTGACAACATTTTTGTTTAATATGATTTTTTTTAACGTATGCGTTCATTTTCTTTCATTAATAAATAAATACTTGTGATAACTGAGTCCTGGTTATCACCTGCGGGTAATTAATACGTGATTATTTATTATAGTTTACCGGACTTAGCTTTAAATCGGGTAAGGTGTTGTCCGATTTATCTCTAAACCGCCCATAGTGTCGTGCGATTTAGAGTTGGTCAGAATTTGATATATATAAATCGTTTGGTATGTTATCCGGATTGATAAATCGGACAAAGGGTAGAATGGTTTAAGGTTAAATCGGACACATGTTGTCTGGTGTAGCCTCAAATCGAACATAGTGTCATGCGATGTAAAGTGTTAGTGGGATTTGAGAAATATAAATCGGTTAATATTGAACGGAGAAGTAGGAATACGACCAAGAGGTGATCGGTTTTTTTAAATCGGACAAGGTCTTGAGTATGAGTTGTCCGGAATAATAAATTGGACAAGGCCTTGAGAGCTGTCCGGATTAGTAAACCGGACAAAAACTTGTATTGTCCGGATTGATAAATCGGACAAGACTTTTGATGTTATCCGGACTTGTAAACCGGACAACTGATATTGTTGACCGGATTGGTTAAATCGGCCAAGACTTGACCAGAGATGAAGTCCGGCCAAGTCTAGATTGACCGGATTTGTTTGTTGACTTGTGCATGGTTTGTATAAATCCTCATTTTAATATTCTTTTAAAAGGAATGGGAATTTTTGATAAATATGATTTTGAACTGATGATATTCCATTGGAACGTTTATGACTGCGGTCTGTTCTATATGAAATTGTTTTGTGAAATGTTTTGATGAGGAAATAAGGCTGGGATATCAAGGAGAGGTGTACCATGGGATAAAGGTGACATATTAAGGAGAGGTGTACCTTTGGATATAAGGGTGACATTTGTATGTGTGATGTGTAATATAATTCTTACTATTATATCTTTTAAGATTAATGTGATTTGGAATTTTTATTTTTTTGTGATTTAAAGATTTAGAATCAGAGTTCTTATTGGAAATCATAGTATGGATGTCATTGAGAAGAAAATAACAGGTTTGGCCTGAAACTTTGAATAAACCTTGTTCAATTAAAAATGTTTAAAAGTGGCATTCTAATAAACCTGGTTAGTACAAACCTATTTGGGTTTTGATGTATTATCTGAAAGCTGAGAGTTTGGCTTGAAAAGTGGAAAGGTACTGATAATTATGTTTTTACTTGTTCATATATTTGTTATATATATGAAAAATTATTTTATATAAAAGTTTTGATGATTTTCACTCTGCAATAACATAAAAAGGGTAACTCACTAGACCTTTTGGTATAACCCTCGTTTTGTGATTTTAAATATGTGTTGCAGGAGGTTCAGATGGTAAGGGAAAAGGGAAAATATGATATTTTCCTATATGCTTATTTGCTCAAAGATTTGGCTATATTATGTAGAGTTTTGGTTGATGAATATTGATTAGTACAAGAAGTGTATTTTGAACTTTTGGACCATGTATTATGTATTGGTAGAGTCATGTACTAAGAGACCTATGTGGTGTATAAACATGTATTTCTTGTGTATGAAGTATATATGTTACATGCAATGTGTGGAATGAGGTGTTACAATACTGAATTATAGAAAGTTGGTATCACATAAAAATGACTTGGATTTCAGTAAAAAGAAAAATTATGATAAGAATTGTAAGAAGAGATCTCCACTTTTAAATCAATTTTAATTGAAAATCTATACTATATTATAAAACATTTGACAAAAGCTCTTAAAAACCACTTTTTATGCGTAAAATACTGTTTATTAATGTATATTACTTAAAACTCAAGATTGCAAATTGATTGTGCGTAAGTACAACTTATTAAAGCTCCATATCTGAATTCGTGTAACTAACTGCAGATAAAAATAATCAAATAAAAGATAAACATCTCATTTTAAATATAAAAAATCTAAAATACAATTAGGATAATCATTGAATTCTAACACTTAATTATTATATTTATAAAATTTATAATATTAAACTAAAAATAAATTATTTTATTATTAAACTTA